TCACGGGCTTGGAAACTCACATGGGCCGTTCTACCCTGTCCTGTAAAGTCATGATGACTCTCCGTCGAATCGCTTGCAGTGTGGTTCTTTTGTTTTTAAAATGGATGTCTCTGTATTTTTCAATTTTGTTTCAATGTACACAATCCAAAAGTAAAGTGTTCCCATGGAAACTTTTGTACTCCAAAATGACGTAAAACAAAGAAAGAAGCAGTGACCAGTAATGGGGAAAGTGAGTGTTCCCAGATCCCCCTAATAACCTACCAAATCATATCAAGTAACACACACAACCTAAAGTAATACTGAGTGCTCACACACACAGTTCAAAGCTTGGGTGACTGATACTCAGGTCCTTCCAGGGGAAGAAACTTAGGGGCGCCATTCCTGCTTTCTAGGGCACCTGCTTTCTTTTTTCAACGGCTACCTGCAAAACAGACACTTGAAGTGGTATCACGAGAATTTAGGAAAGCAGGGATACCTACGTGGGTTTCTTGGGATCGCTGGAAAATGATCACAACCTGGGCTTGTATTGTGTCACACAAACATTCGTTGTGTCCCAGTTTGGAGGATGGGGACGGAAGTTGGAACGTAAGGTGTCGGCAGGGCCGGCTCCCTGTGAAGGCTCTGGGGTTAAACCTTCCTTGCTTCTTTCTCATTTTGGTGGTTACTGGAAATGCATGGTGTTCTACACCATGTCCCCACCAGGGGACAAAGATGAGACCATTTCTGGAAAGGTTTATGTCCTTGGAATCCCTAATCAGAACAGACTCGATGGTGCTGGCAGGGCCTTAGTTGAGACTTATTTCTAAATAAGGTCACTTTGTGAGATTGTAGGTTGTGGGTGGATGTGACTTTTGAATTGGGTGTTCATGAACACAGAATCTTTTAAGAATTGAAAATTTACAAGAGAAAGAAAGGAATTCACTACAGGATTGTGAGATGTCAAAGATTGCCCTCTGATACCTCTTCTAAGTTCTCACTAGATAGACATTTGTTATTTTATAGGGAATGGTGGGACACTGAGGTTAAGTAACTTGCCCAAAGGTTCCGGTGTGTGTACTGTGTTAGTGGGACATGGGTTCTGAGCCACCCCGGGCTGCACCAGCCTTACCCCAGCCTGAGTAACATCCTGAGGGACAACAGCTCCACCCCTGTTTCCTGCTTCTTAATGAAGTTCCCTCTGACCTCCTTGATGGCCCTGTCTCATCCTACCTTGGCTACTTTTGTTGTATTGGCCTTTAACTTATAGCACCTGTTCTGTGAACTCTGCTAGGGAGAATTTCCATCTCAGCTACATTAAAGGAGGAGGCAGATAGTATACTGTCTGCTTCATGGCACTGTTAAGAAGATAGAGTGATTTGATAAGATTAGCAGGAGGTCTGGTGGTGTAGTGAGTTACACGTTGGCTCACTAACCATGCGGTCAGCAGTTCAAAACCACCAGATGCTCCTCAGGAGAAAGAAGAGGTTTTCTACTCTTGTAAGGATTTATGGTCTTGGAAACCCCCAGGGCCAGTTCTACTCTATCCTACAGGGTCGCTGTGCTGAATAACCTGATGGCAGGGAGTTGTTTGGTTTGGTTTAGGATTGTGCATAACACAAACTGGAAACACAATTTAGAAAACAAAGCAAAACCAAACCCTCAAAGCAGCCGCCCTCTGACTGGGGGTGGGGTCGGGGTGGGGGATGCCTGGATGCAGGAATAGAAGCACCACCTCCGGTTTTCAATGGCAGTGACCTTTTCATGAGTAGCGTTCC